ACATGTCCGTATTCCATTGCGGAGTAGACTAATTTTGCTAATGGTGTGTCCTACCGCGCGTTCAATGCATTTAATGGTAAAGGTATTTTGCAAAAAGATTTGCCGATAACTGAGTGGGTTCAAGTGATTTTTCAAGGAAAATTGTTGATTTTTTATATTAAAAGTGGACATTTTGCATGATTGGTGCTTTGCTTTGTTAACACGTATAAGCGTATTCATTTTAAACGTTTCGACGTTTTTGTAAACAACGTATATTTAAATAATTGATTTAATTAATAGAATCGCACAAAAGTTTATTTTAAGGCAATATGTATTGCTCAAAGGAAGGTCTTACATTTAACTTATAAATAATATATTGTAATTCGTGATCTCAAAAGAGATTTAGATTTAAAGTTTACCTATGAAAAGGTAGGTCCATAGTTGATCCATATTTTGTAGGAACATTTATCGTTCATATTTTAAAATTGTATAAGTCAATATACAAACTAATCCCTCGCATAAATCGCCACTGGTTCGCGGGTTTTAGACAGAAACGCGTAGTGTACGAATATTTACATCAGTGATAACACTGACAGCGCAACGCGGATTAGCCGTCCGGTGACAGCGACATTTGTTTCAGTACCACGAGATAATTTATTGCGCTGTGTGTGACAATTTACCGGAATAAAAGTTTAGCGTTATGACCTAGATAGTTTGAAAAATATTCGTTTTACGTAACCCAACTCGATAGACGTCTAACGCGAGTAATACATGTATAAATAAACAGTTGACTCGATTTATTTAGACTACTTTTTGAAATTCGTTAATTTATGTATTAACGAGTAGATAACTTTTATCTTTAATTGTAAAATTCAAACCAGTTCAACTGAAAGTGGTTTTTGTAGGTTTAATCTCCGAAAACGACTGGTACAAGTCTGTGATTTCATTGATCATTATAATGAAGGTATCACTTCAACCAGGAAAACATATAACCTAACCCAATATAGTACGTTTGGGGAAGTCTAATTTCAACGGCTCTATGTTATGGTAAGTGTATTAAAATAAATGACACCACTACAACTGATATTCCACAAAGACGTACTTCGAACACTCAAAGATCACAGACATGATAATTACACGCTTTACTTGTATAAGCACACTCAATCACTTTAATTAAGATTCCCTGTGTCAAGACAGACTCCGTAAACAGTGCTAAGACCTCGTATGGTTAACACAAATATTAGTGTAGCCAACTGTTACAAACTTGTTACAAGAATAAATTGGCTTTGCAGTTTTAAGCAACGTCTAAATTTTAAATTTTAAATCTCACTCTGTCTCTTCAGTCGTAGCTCATGTCTGAGCGTCGTGGCAAAGAAACATCTGGAGCGGAGCGGTTTTCACCGGTTTCTGTCCAGCGCTTCTCTTATAACAAAACAAAAATGAGTCTTTCACTTGATCAGTCCAGGGAGCGTTCAAGTATTACGTAACGAATTTTGGGGTCCTTTTGTAAAACGATACGATGCAGGGCGGGGATGGAATTATGCGTTATTGTTATTATTATTTTCGACTTTCCAGTACTTTACAACCACATAAAGGTAACTTTTGGTTATAAAGAGTCACTGGGTGGTCACGAAACGTTTTACTTTTGGGTACAGAAAAACGTTACGGCGCGTTACATGGGGGGGGGGTCAATTATCTCCAAAAATTGCGTGTTCTCCAAGCTCTCACCTCTGCGCATTGTATGGACAAACTAGGTATTATATATAATTAGAATTTTATATATTTTTCGAAATTCTTTTATATGGTACTTTGATTTTTTTTGTAAAAAGATACTGTTTGTCAATACGAACAAGTGTTAATCGCACATACGTAGAAAGGAAAATCCATTGGTGAACAGTTTGGGTCCCAATACACGATCTTAGTCCAAACTGCCTAGCCAGCACTGGAAGATTAAAAATCTTTATATACAGTAGAATTCTGGTCAAACCAAGTGTGATTTGGTAATAAATAACGAATTTCTTCATTGAAAGTTTTGAATTAGTCGTTCGAGTTATTTATAATTCGAATGCAGAACGATTGTCGTGGGAGTTAGCAAATACAGTAGTTAGTTAATTTAGATCGAGACTTGATTAAACGATTCCGAGTTTGAGCGTGATAGATGACGGCTTCTTGTTTCTGTATTTTGTAAGGCTGTTGTTTTTTTTTATTTGTGGAAAATATTTCTGCTTGGTTAGGTGCGTAACACGCGGTTAAATTAAGGAAAATAACAGGCGTCAGCTTACTCACGCATTACATTTTTTAAATGTACAATTTGTTTGTATAATAAGATATTAGAACTTTATACATTTATAACTTGTTTGTTATAAGATTTTTATCGTTAAGCATAAAGCCTGTAAAGAACTTTGAAGTCTCTGGAAAACTTTTGTGACACTAACGTTGCACGTGCCAGATACGAGATTTCTAAAATAGTATTATACATATTACATATATAATATTTTGGCATTTGTCATAGTTCACGCACTTCTACTGGGAATCTTAGTCTAAAACCCATTCACGCGGATATAATTTTTACCTGGAATTTAGTTACTAATCTATTGCAAATAAATTAAACAAGCATCCAAAAAATGTGTCATTCAAACCGACATTTTGAGACTGCAAAGTTAGCGGTATTGATTTAGGAACGTATTTAAACGTATGTATGTTACATATAATTTATAATTCCAGAGTTCATATTGTTTTGTATGTGCAGAAGAAAAGGCCATCCCTATATATTTGAAACTAATATGATTACAGAATAGGGCGAACACAACAGATTAATCACGCATAAACATCGCTTAATAATTCCAACCCAGTTTCACGAATCGACCGTTATTCGTACTTAATATTTATTGTTTGGGGATACAAGTTTTTACGGGTGAATTTTCTTATATTGGTTTGGAACTTGTTCTTAAAGACTTATTAAGTATATATTATACGTGCATATGAAGGATATACTAGTATAGTAATTCGTAGATATTAGTAACCCGCACTTGATTGTTTAAGATTTTATAAAGCAGAGTTTAAATCATGGATCTATATTACAAAGTATGACTACAAATCGATTCAGTTATCAATTCTAGAATCCTCAATGCGAACTTACAAAACAACTCTTGCGAATGCTTCCTTTGTTCCCAATAATTTAGTTAAAATGGAAATTCGAAAGCAAGTTGTTCTAGGAATTAAGGTAAAACTGATATCCAAAATCGGTGTTCAATCCGTTTCGAAACTATAAATTTTACACACAAATATTTGTTTACAACGAAAGCACAACTTTGTGTAATTAATAATAATAAAAACCTTTTATTGCAGATAGTATTACACTTAAACGCATTTATATTTCAATAATCTCATTCATTTTAGAAATCTGTGTGCCCTTTTTTGGCAAAGGGCTCCTCCAAATCCCGGCATTCCTGTCTGCACTGTGCCACTGTCTGCCATGTACCACCTGCTGTTTCCTTCATCTGATCTATCCACCTTCTAGATTGTCTTCCTCTTTTGTGTGTGTTGTACCTTGGGCACCAGTTTAATACTTTCTTGGTCCACTTTTCTCGACCTCGAGGCTTTACAGTCGCTGTCAAAAAAGCTACAGTTGATAAAACGTTCCCTTACCGAATTCGGTAGATTTCAAAGAATTTCTTTTTCGGCTTCTCAAGAGGTTAAATGTCGGCATGAGTTTGATTTTTACCTGTATGCAAATATACTGGTCACACCTGCTGACGTATTATTGGAAGTTGTAGAAACGTAGATGTTTGGATAATATTGAATTCTGACGTCATAATACCAGAGTTCACATGTTTTGATCGAAAAGCAGTTTCAAGGGTTCGAAAGCTAGCTTTGTGAGAAAATGTTGGATTTATACATAGGCGAGTGGGGAGAACGTTATAAAATAGGATTCTTATTGACTTGAATAGGAAAAACAGCATCATAGATATAGTAAGACCTTCGGAAGTTCCTAGCTGTATTCAATTTCAATTTCAAAGCCTTTATTTTAACTAATACAAGAGAAAGTTTACAAAATATAAATGTATATAAAAAAGTTCTTAAAGAAGGTTTTGTTGCACAGCTGTCCTCTTGTACAGCTTTCCTTTGTGGCACAAAGGCCTCCTCCAGCTGTTTCCAGTGCTTCCTATCCATGGAAAGTCTTTGCCACAGAGGACCAGTGGCTTTTAGCTGTATTACTTGAATAAATTAGTCAATAAGGTTCAAGATATAAATTAAATAAGCTGTGTCGAATTGAAGAAAATTTCATGACGCATTGTCATACCGTACCGAATACGATCAAAATGTAACAAAATATTTTTAATCCATCTCGTATGCGTTCAGCGAAGAACGTACATAATTCTGAGCACTTCATTGAAGGGCTCAGCGAGGTCGTCATTAAAATTAAAAATAAATATCAAGTTCATATCAAGTCCTATTCGATGGATCAAATCATTTCAACGTGGAAAATTATTCGATAATATTTAATTTACATCTGTAGCGAAGTTATATTTTGTTTTAAATGCGCATTCTTATTCCGTTTTAAATATTCTGAACGACGCGTTACGGGTCGTTAATTCGTCCTGATGTATGTACGTGTTTCAGGTCCGCAGAGCGAACGGATCGTATGGTTCAGAAATACAGAAAAAAATGTGCTTGATCGTGAATAGTGTTAACTGTAGTGATAGACGAACGTGCAAGTGTCGTGATTTACAGGAAAGTTGAGAAACACTTCAAAGATAACAATGGAATATGGTTGAACACTCAACCTAAACTGTGCTTCCGAACGCAGTGAAAACGAAACCTCACATAAAACTTATATAAATTGTTGTACATATTTACCTATAGTTACTAATCGTTGTCCTTTACAATCTTTTTAGATAATATTTCAATGTTTTTTAAATCATCGAAGCGGTTGTCGTATTTTATGTGATATTGTTAGGTTAGGTAAATGTAAGTGGCAAAACTCGGTTGTGATGTGTATAGTGTAAGTAAGTAGCTGGTTATTGGGCTGAAGCGCGGTCGGCCGCGCTGTGATGACGGTGGGTAGTGACGTGGTATTTGGTGCAGGCGCAGGCGCACTCCGGCGCCGGTAAAATGCGAGAGCGGCGACGCGCGCGACACCGCACTACCGCTCTTGTCATCGCATGTCTACTCTTCTTGACCTCCCAAGTCGACGCATCTGGTAAGTCTAGTACAGTTTTAGTTTGCGAAACTCTCATTCTATTTGCTATAAGGCTGGAATTTTAAAGCGTCTAGACTTTGGCCCTTCATGATTACCATAATATTGAGTATAATATTGCAATAAAGTGGAAACTTGGGTCGTTCTAAGCAATAAATTGCGACCTTAGCTGAATTCTTGAATCTTAATACGAATACAATATGACTTCGTTAATGGAATGGGAGTTTAGCCATCTTGCATGCTATTATTAAGTTGTTATTTAAGTACGATAATGTAAAGAACGAACTGACGATATAACGAAATTCGAATATAATTATATGGCTGATGATATAACATCTAATTATTAGATTAATAATTACTGTAGTGTGTGGGAATGTAAGCACTTGACACGTGGCCCTATCTGAGTTTTTGTGTACTAGGTTTTGGCCTATAATAATTATTTATTAATTGAATTATGGAGAGATTCATTTAAGTAACACAATGTACACTTATCAATAAAGAAATACACATTAAATGCTTCTAATTTTACATTTACTGCCAGTTCTCAAATCGAGGGCGTAGAACGGACGAGAAGAACTGGCAAAAAACTCTCCGCGAATCTTTTTAATCGCCTAGTTTTTTGTTTTACAAAATATTTGTAAGGAGCTGAAACCACTACACCATGGTCCACATGACATCTGAAGTAATTAATAGTTAGTTAATAATAATAAAAAAATAAAAACAAAAATGTGTTCTCTATCAGCAGTAGGTATGGTGAAATGGGAGCACGCACTTACATTCTCGTGGAAACAACACGGAAATACATAGTCGAAATGAGTAACATCACCGCATACACGAATTCAAGTCCGACCAGTCGCTAAAAGTAACACAGTGAGTGTTGATCTCTACTGCCACATTTCTTTTCTTTTTTTTTCGCTGTGCTGTGCTGTTTCGCTGTTTAAGGGCCTTTACAGGTCAGCTCCGGCTGTTTTGGCGAGCGTAGCCTCATTTCTTCATCGTACGAGCCGTATTAAGTCAAAATTTCACCCGCGTCACCTTGTCGCCTTCACCATGGTCCGCTTCACAAGACATTTACATTTACGAACTAGCGAACTGTGGAATCGACTCCCTTTGACATTCCTGGGAGATGCGACCGTCAATTGTTTAAAGAAATAGCATATCCCTTTTTAAAGTTTATGTGTGCTTTTTTTACGGAGGATCTGAGTAAGCACATCTAGGGACGAATTCTCCAGCACCAGAAGTGCAGGGTACCTGGGGTAAAAATTGTCTAATTGATAACGCTGCCATGATTGATGGCTTAGCGATAGTGGATTACGCCCGTCGAAAACTTATTATGTCAAACACCATTTCTCTGTTCTGTTCTAAAACTGTTCCACTTTTTAACCAATCGGAAACAATTGTTTCGCCGTGAGTCGAAGCAAGAATATCCTGGTCATACGTCATACCGTCAATCACATATGCGGTCACCATCTAATCATGCCCTTTTTGGCGTCTTTTCTATTCTATAAAAAATAACGTTAACTTACTTATAAAATACTAGCGGATCCGACAGACGTTGTCCTGTACACACGTCTAACATACAAAAAAAATCTAATAATCATTCTCGACTCCTATTAAACACACAAAAAAGTTTCATCAAAATCTGTTCAGCTATTTAGGAGTTTAATTAAGAACACATGCACAGAATATTTATATATATACCAGCTGTTATTTTTCTGTATAGATAAATAACCTAGTTTTATTTATTTGTAAATGTTAACTACGGGCGCCACCCAAACGCATACAAAAAAATTCATTCAAATCGGTTCTGTCGTTTAATAGTAGTAGTTCAAAAATTCAAAAAATTTAAAAATCATTTAATCATATGGGTAACACATTGTACACTTATGACTTGTCAGTAAAGAGTTCAGAGACATACACACGTAGAGTAGTATAAAGATATGAAATATTCATTCAATATATTAATCACGATATCCTTCAATGCTCAATATAATTAAAATATCAGCATACTCGATAATTGGGTAAATAAGTTAGCTATTTAAAATAATTACGACAATCATCGCAAATGTAGTGTAAAAGTACTCTAAATACTCGCAACATAACTTTGCGAATGGTAATACTACTTAATGCGTGGTAATAGAGGTGATTTTACAACGAAATTTGTTACTGTGACCCGCTAAGGAGAAAATTAACATAATACCCTATACTTATTACGCCTATGTTGGAAACAAAAGCACACGAGGGTTATAAGTTGAATGTTCTGGATTGTCAAAAATTACTACGAATTTATACAATAATTAGGATGTACGTAAAAAAAATTGGCTTACTTTATTAATAAAAACTATTTTGCCAGTTACGTTAATTACCGATTTTTGGGAATTTCAATGTCACTTAATTTTATTTTATTTTAAAAGGCACACTAACGAAACACATACAAACACTTACAGAGAACATATGACATACAAAAACAAGATACATGCATGTGCATCAATAACAAGTGTGCACAACATTTAGAGGTAAACATTACAATGATAAGGAGAAAATAACTTAAACATCAAAAGTAAACAACTAACTAGATTAAAAGATACAAATGTGCAATTTAAGAGAAAAAAAAATTATTTTACTTTGTAATTGTCACTATTGGTCACGGATCAACAGTGGCTTAGTCATATAATAGTAGGTATTGATCGCGAATATTATGTAGCCTTTAAAATAACTTCATATAAATTATCAGGCGCGTGTTGCTGGCTTTATATCTACAGTTTAAAACTTATAATTATGTTGGAATAATGAGAATGGAAAGTATTGTATAAAGCGTACATTGTGCATCAACTCCGTTACGATGTACATGTATGAGTAAATGTCATTATAATGAAAGCCTTCTCATGTATTCAATATCTGTAAATATTTGAAATCATTCATAAATTCAAGCGTATTCAATTTTATTCAGAAAGATTTTCTTCCAATCTTTATAAAGCGAGCGAGTGTCTGGTTTTTATTTTCTACATACGCAAGAAGGCAGCATTTTAAAAACCTTTTTAGATTAACGTCTTTGGTGTATCAGTTCTAACCGGTCAGTGTACAGTTAAAATCTGTTATAACGACATCGAAGGGACTACTCATATTTGGTCGTAAAAACAGATAGTCGTAACAGCCGATGACGCTGTTATTAAGAACCGAATACAATAGAATTCAGCCGGGACAATTGATTTTGGTCAATTTAACCGGTATGTTGTTCTGTATTGAGTATGGAATGTCTGACGATGTCGTCAGACATCCACTCCATACACCCCAGAACACGACGGGATGGCCAAACGAATGAACAGGACGCTAGTAGAACGTGCAAGATGTTAGAATGTACGTGGATGTTGTAATAAAAGGAATATTTAATTAATACAATTTATTCTGAGATTAAAACAAGTACGACATTTTCTACAAAAAGAATAGAAGTAATGAAAAGACCTCTCGAGACATAATTAGGTACTAAAATACATATTCTAACAGTAAACGGTTTTGACTGTATTTAATAAATTATTAAATAAGCTTGAAATTAATATCAGATAAGATTATTTTTGTATTAATAAAACATGCTTTTTTAAAAGGCGAAAAGAAATAAAAGGCTACGGTAAATTAAAAACAATGTTCCTGACAATAATATATACCGTTCTGCATTTGGCAATGGTATTTTACTTCTTAAATTGTTATAATGTCGTTACTAGCACGCGGCGAGTCATTTGCATAAGGTAGCTTGTTGAGAACGGCTGTGTCCGCCATAAAGAGCGCCACAGGACTTATGAACGCAATTAATGAACAACAAGCAACCAAACTACCCTCCTTACAGGGCCAACAAAACAGGCTTTCGTCGGTTTCAACATTAATTTTCGATTAAGAGTTTTATTGCGCTCGTAAAAGGAGGAATCTTTTATGCTTCCATATTGGAATAAAAAAGATTTCGTATTAGAGGAAGCGAAATATATTAGGTACGTGACTATCAGTCTGTTTCGATTACGTTCGGAGAGATTTTGGAGCTTCGCACATGTGCTGTAATTATTTGATCAACTTTACTGCGTCTCATTCAATCAGAAGCACTTTGTATGTGATTGTACTGTAGTTCAAATGAATTCACTTGTAGTACTGACTTATATAACAATACACAAGTGTAAAAGCATAGTTTCACAAAAAAAGGTTGCTAATTAATACTTCTAATATCTTACTTGAGATTTGATATTTTAAGTAACGGATTTTTAAAATATATATATTACTCAATAGATAAAATAAGTAATTGAAAAGCATTTATAATAGCATAATTTGAAACAAAAAACGAATTTAGGAGGCAATCACACTTCTCAATATCGACAATTATATAAAGGTCACATTATAATTAATCATTTACTCAATTAATATTACAGATCAAAATGTTTGACATAGATTTATAAACATTGAATAGTGATATAGAAATATTTAATTTTTGAAGGTGATTGTTGTACAATAAAAATTATCTCTAGAGGCAGCGTATCGATTTTGTAGAAAAAAAACCACGCCCAAGTTTGATTTGCATTTTAATATACACGGGGGATAAGGGAATGAACCTGTCATATTGTTCTGAAATGACAGGCTGAGCTGCCCGTACAGATAATATAATTTTATTTATATTTTTATTAAACGTTGGGACACGGTCGGATATTCGTATAATTAATTTTTGTCGCTTATATTTAGTTATGTATTCTAAATCAAGGCCTAGTGGCTACAGAGTCCGACTCTCATCCCTGTAAATATCCTCTCTAAATTGGGCTAGCATAATTAGATATTGTGTATTGTTAAGTCAATACTTAAGGTATTTTTAATAATATATTGCTAGACATCGTTCGCGCGTAAAAATAGCAAACAGTCAAAAACTGTCGGCATTTCAGGAGAAAATTCAATTATAACCTAATTTACCTATAACAAAATTCATCATACACTTAATATTTCATTTTACGTTCTAAGTAAAAAATCTCAAAGGATTATCGCGTTTAAAATCCTATCAAGTGGCCTTATACC